GGGGGGGGGGGGAGGAGGAAACCAAGCATTTCATATGTTGTTACAAAAGGAAACCAAGCATTTTATATGTTGTTACATTTTCTGTTGCTTCATAGCAGTTATGTACTATTTGCAAAATGTAAACAATAATGAAGTTTGTTTAAATTTGTACATTTTTAGGTTATAATTTTTTTTTTCAAACTTAGCATGCTAATTGTAGAGGATTACAGTAATCTTACCTAGGGTCTGCAAGTCTATACAACAAGGATTCCTGATGTAATAGGCCTTTATGAGAAATGACCCAATGAGTTTTGATCGATTAAGAAAGATGTTTATCGTTGATATAATGCTAGGTTTAGGATTTTTTTCTACTGGTATTGAATTTTGTAAAAACTGTGCAAGCTGTTAGAAATCAATTAACTGAAACTGAAGTTTGGAGAGCCATCATAGTGCTTCAGGAAGGCCACACTCAGACTGAAATGGCACAGGTCATGGGGGTGTCAAAATCTGTGGCCAGTAGATTGTGTTGTGACCATACAAGAATACACCAGGAGGTCAAGCTAGGGTCACAGAAAGCAACAGGTGCAGTAAACAAATATATGCAGAACTTAACCCTTAGAAACCACACCAGCAGTACTAGAAGCCTTAAGAAAGAGCTTCAGCAAGCCACTGAAGTGTGTGTATCATGCTCAACAGTTAGGATTAGCTCGATGAGGATGAGTGCAGGTCCAGGAAAAAGCTTATTGTGAGCCATACTGGCTGTTTGCCAACCAAAGGACAGGTGCTTTCCAAGAAATTTGGATAGAAGGCTGCTGTGACTGGAAGCATGTAGTGGAGGGAATGGAGAAATACGAGTCTTCTTGCATGGCACATTTAGTGAAGAACTCAAAGCAGGTATTGTAAAAGAAAAACTTTTGGGGTCAAGTTTTGGATAGATTACTAAATGTAACTCTTAAACTTGTGATTTCATGGGCATAGAAGAAGTAGGAAGTGGATAGGGAGCGAGTGGTAATTTTATCTGTTTCGTGGAATTGCTGCAAAATTAGACTCAGTTCTTGAGAAGCTAATTAGTAAGCTAAAGGGTCAAATAAAATACATGAGCCCTATGGTTCAAAATGAACTGATTCAATTGTTTTCACAAAAACTTAAGAATGAATTGATTTGTGCCATTAAAATAGCCCCATTTTTTCTATTATTTTGGACACAACCCAGGATATTTCCAAAGTTTGATCAGCTGTATGAAATTTATCATTATTGTTCAACAGAAAGTGATGAAAATGGCAAGCCAAAAGCTCTGTGTATCAACAAATCATTTTTAGGTTTCTATAAAGCTGGAGGATGACAAAATCTTGTCAAAACATCTTACAGTTAATAAAGTTGTTTCATTACCTAGTCAAGCCGTCTCCAAACTTTTGTTTTCTTAAAAGTGGGTTCCTCATTATCAAGTTATAATTTGAATTTAATCGTTACTGATACAGCAAACGATTTGACAGAAATGGCTCAATTTTTTTATGTTGTTCAAAGAGTGTATGTTTTTCTTTTTTTAGACTAAGTATCAAAAAATGGGACATATTAATGAGTTTAATTTCTGAATCTGGTACTCATAAAGGGTCAACTATTAAAAACTGAACCCAACTAGATGGGCTGGACATTTTGATGCAGTATTTGCTCTCAAAGTACGATTTCCTGAAGTTCAAACAGCTCTGACAAAAATAACTTTTTTAGCTCATAATCAGATGAATGCAACGAGCCATTGCACTTAAGAAACTCTTCTAAAATTTCAATTTTATTTGTCTCTCAGTTCAAGATTTTGCAATCTATAAATCTACTGTTGAAAGCATTTCAGTTGGAATGGCTGACGTGGCTAAAGCTGCAGAACTTTTAAAGGTTTGTTTGGATGAAATGTGTAACTACAGAAACCAGTTTGAAGACCTGAAAGAAGAAGCATTGATCGCAGCGAGGGATTGGTCAATTCTTTCTGTATTTGGAAAAAAGTGGTAGAGAATCAGGTAGAAACATTTTGATGAACTTTGTGAAGACTAAAGATTGACAGATCCAGAAAGTTTGTTCCCAGTGAACATTATTTCTTTTTATTGTACTTTCAACATCATTAAAAATCAGTTGAATTCTCGCTTCAGTGGTCTTCATGGAGTTGCGTCCACTTCATTGCAGAACCTTTCAGACTTACAGTTATTTAAAGATGCTACATCTGCCAGCAAGTATCAGACAGACATATCAGAATCATTCAATAAAGAAATCTTCAGAATGAGATCCGCTCTGAAGGGTGAAATCAACAAAGAGAACCATTCTATATCAGCGAGTCTCTCCGAAGTTTGTACAGCTTTGTTCTTGTTTTTGACGATTCCTCTGATAACTGCAAGTGCCAAGCAGTCTTTCTCAAAGCTATAAAGTATTAAAACTATTAGCAAAGCACTATGAGGTAGCAACAATTACACGGACTGGCACATCTCTCAGTTGAACAAGCTTTTGCTCATTAGTTGAACTTCAGTAAACTCAATGATCATTTTACGGAGGTGAAAGCAAGCAAGAAAGATTTTTAAAGATATTCTTTTTTGCTAATACTGATTTTATGTTTTGAAATATATATACCCCATCTAGCTGAATTTTTCTCTTCCCCTTAAAAAAATCTGACCCTTCTTGCTCATTCATTATATTTGATCAATTAGACAGAGGTACTTAATAGGCTTTACATATTTTGGTTCCAAATTAACCATAAATGTTGTTAGTTGGGGGGAGGGGGCTCTCCCCAATCAGTAAAATTTTGCCATGGGCCCTTCTGCTCCTAGTTATGCCACTGACAGTCCAACCAAATGTTGTGTGATAACCTTTGCTGCCAACATTCTATTGTATAAAAGAGGCTGAGCAAAGCTGAAATTGAAAGCAAGATGCAGCCATCTCTCAGCAGTGTGAGCAAATTGTACAATGACACACAAATGGTCATCAATCCTGCTAAAGCAACAGTCATGTTCTGAACACTTAACAACAGACATGTTTATAAGGAAAATCAACCACTATTGTTCGTGGGCATTGCTATCCCTCTGGAAGAAACACATAAATACCTACTTGACAGCTAAACCATTCAACTGCACCAGCCACATTAACACCATGATAACCAGAGATACCAAAGGCATCAAAGTACTGAAATAGACAGTAATTAATAATATAATATTTGCAACATATGTGAATTCAGTGATTATTCCCCAGATGGATGGCAGAAAACAAATCAACTATAAGGAAAGACCATAACACAGATGTATGTACCAGGCCATGCAGAGGTAAAAGTAAACGAGGCAAACTTGCAAGAGAAGCTCCTTTATCAATCCTGGCACAATTTTACTAGAAAGATATCAATCTCCTCTGCACTAGCAAGATGAAAATGGAAACCGTGAATGGTCTTTATCAACATTTAGAGGAAAACAAACTATTACATGATGTAACTAGGAAAAGCAAAATATGGGGAATCAGAAAGACAGTATTGGCAATAAGATATCAGAAAATATCTTTAAATGTTTGTAAAGTATCAAAAAATGATGAGTTTTATGTGGTGTCATTTTTATAGGCTTTGTACTCAAAGAAATTAAATTTTATATTACTATTAAATATATAAGTACTTTTGCAAGTGAAAAATGACTTAAAACAAACTTTTTAAAAATACATTTAAATATAATATTTTGTATTAATAGTTATACAAGGAAACAAAAAATAACCAACCAGTAATTAATCAAATTGATTAAAAGCAAACATAAATAATTAGATTGTTCATCCACTACAAATAATGTACGTTTCCTCAATGACTGTGTAGATTATAAAATTCATCTTAATGAACCACCATGCCCGAAATGTATACATCACTAATATAAAGCATGGAAAAGCTATTTGTTGAAACATTTGAAATAAAGCATCAAGTTTGAAATATATAACTAAAACAGTAGACATGCTGTGTTGAAAAGTAATTAAACACTGCTAAAATAGATAATTCAGAAGCACTGAAAAACAAAAGAGGTCTTAAGAACTATGTTAAAATACGGGTAAAAAAAGATTTAGAATGAAAAAAGTACTATTAGTTTTTATAATACCTGAGTCCATTGTTCACCGCCTGAAATATAGCTAAAGCTCGTTCTGGGCGAGGAACTTTGGGTCGCTTGCTTGACCAAGTAGACGAGACTTTTAATGCTCGTTGTGTTGTATTAGGGCTGTAGTAGTGACCTAATACAGAACCTTAAAAATAATGAGTGCATTTTATTCAAAACAAAAAACATCAGTTTTTTCAATTGGGAAATATTAATTTAATACAACTTTTATATTGCATATGCTCTATTTCTCCATTGTGAACATTATATATATATATATAATCATATTCGTGTTACTCTGTTTTTGTTCTGAAATGAAGTTACAGTTAGCATTTAATAATTCATGCCCTTAAATTTGAAAAAACATTCGAACATACCAGGTTTACAGATTTAATAATCATTATCATCAAATAAATAAATATCCATAGGACTTCATTAACACAGTGGTTCTTAACCTTTTTTGGGAAGCTGCACCCAATCGGTTTATAGAACATGTCCACACATCCCTTGCCTTTCAGGATTTGTTAATAGTTCTCTCTCACATTTAATTATACATCATACATAGCCAATAGAAAGTCAATGTTTCCATCTATCAAATGATGTATTACATTACGTTGTGTTCTGAACAGATAGATGTCAATTTCAGTTATAACGGAAGCTTCATTCCCGTGGGAACTTTAATGACTAGTTTGGGAGAATTTGTAACAGCTATTGTCGCATAGTTAGGGTTGAAAAGTGTAGAAAGTTTACTATCAGTTTGCTAACAAGTGATCTCAGGAGTCTGAGGGAGAAACCTTATTTGCAATGGAAACACCGACATGTTTCGTACCTCCAGAAATCCTAAGGGGTGCATGCACCACAGGTTAAAAAACACTGCATTAACACCTCAGTTAAAAAAAAAAACATCTTGTAGTCAACTTTCATTAAGTGTTGTTTTATGTTAACATGGATGATTAATTTTAAAATTGCTTCTCAAATAAATTAGTTTTGGAAGAAGCAATCAGAGAGTTCCTAGTTAAAATTTGTCTTTTAACATTCAAAGGTTAACTTAGTATCTAAATGGAATCAAGAATGCAGAATTTTAGAAGTATTGAGAGTTTATTATACAAAACCACTATGTTTTGTTTTTTCATACTAATGTATAAGGTCGTCAAGAAATTAATGTAGCTTTTTTTAGATGAAAAACCCGAACAACTTATATATCAAAACAAAACATATTAAATTAAATGGTCTCCATTCTTATCGACAGTGCTTTTCCATCTTACAATCAGGTTATTAATGTCCTGATTAAAGAAATCACTTGGCTTTGAAGCATAAAACATTTCGACATCCTCTTTAACACCTTCCACATTTGCATGTGTTTTCCTATTAAGATGGTGTTACAGTGAAGGCAAAAGATGGTAATCTGATGGTGCCATATCTGGAGAATATGGTGGGTGAGGGAGAACGTCCCAACCCAACTCCATAATCTTGTGTTGCGTCAAACGTGCAACATGCAGATGTGCATTGTCGTGGAGAAGAAGAACACCTTTCCTTTTGATGAGTGAAGGGCGTTTCTGATGAAGAGCTTGATTTAAACATTCCAGTTGCGGACTATAGATCTCTTCATTGACAGTTTGCTGTGGATTGAGGAGTCCAAAATAAATTACTCCTTTGATGTC